ACTTTGATACATTAATCTTCCAATAATTCTGGCTTCTGATTATTTCATTATTTATCAAAACTTTTGTAAGCATTCTCTGTATATAAAAAGAATTTGTATATATTAATTTACTGTGTGTGTGTGTGTATAATATTGTTATTGATGGATAATTTAACTAGGTATTTTTCTCACATTACTTTGGGCTTGATTGATATTCTAAAAATTATAATAAAAAAAAACAGAATAAACAATAAATTTACTATTTAGATTAGATACTGAAATATTTAACCTGCTGCTAGTCAAATTGCCAAAAGTTTATAATTTAAATTTGGCAAAAAATTTTTCATATTGTTTTGCTAAAAGATGATAATCTATTTCTCAAGAACTATGCATTTCAGTATGTAACTTTCCAGCACTCTTATTTTGCCATAAACCCAATTTGGTGACAAAATAATATACCATGCTTAATTAATACTCAACATTCAAAGCAGAGATGTGTACCAATTAAAGCCTTGATTCTACTTGCACATTTCCAATAGTAGCAGCAAGCAGTCGCAATGGTTACTATGGAAACAATCCAACAAGGCAGCTCTCTAACTGTTCACTGTGTCTCTAAGGAAAATTCCAATGTGCTGAATATTGCCACTGCCACTAAGACTCACCACTTTTGATAGCCAATAAAATGATAGCATATATCTGACATCAGAACAATAGATCTAGGGTCAATGTGGGTAAATATGAGACACTTTTCAAAACTTTTGTAACAGCATTTGTTAGGATCAATATTTTCCAAAGAGAAATGCACAACAAGGTCTACAGATGGTGTTAAAATCTAATGGAGTATCTAATGGAGTTTTTTTCTGTAGGTAGAGAAATGTTGAGCAAAAGATTTTTTTCGCTGTCTCATATTTTACCTTTTGAAGGTAAAATATTATATACACCCAGACACCGAGACACCCATTATATCACCATAAGGACTTGCCTATACCAACAGGGAGGTTAATAATGAGGTACTACAGGTTAAATGTAAGGCATTTTTGTATAAAACATTGCTCCATGATATTTAGAAGTAAGTAGATAAGATTAAATATTTATCCGTTTTGAAAAGTGTCTCATATTTACCCACATTGACCCTACTTTTTAGTTTTTCTCTGATAATTGTTTGGTATCTTTATTATTCCATTCAAAGCTCACACCTATAAGAACAAAGAAATATTTTTACTATGGTAAAGCACAACTAAAGTAAAGTTTCATGGAAAGTAATGACTAGTGAATAAAATTTGGTGTGTCTCATTTTTTATCTCATTTTGAAATGCACAAAACTCAGACAAATGATGATATATGCAATAAAAACAACTAGTAGCTGAAAGCTGTGTTTATATACTACATACAAATTTCTAATTAAATATTCATGTCTTTTGCAGACTATACAGAGCAAAAGTTAGTTGAACTGACAGAAAGTTTTTGCACCTATTTTTGTAGTGTTTCTTAAAAATTAAAAAGACTCAATGAAACCATAGTCATTTTCATTCAGAAAAGTTATATGTTAAAAAGCACTAAATAAACTTTATTTTGAAATTAGAATATAGAAAAAATATATTTCGGACTATACATATAATTGAGTCCATCTTCATTTGTCCCTTCACACGTTTTGCAGAGGCAATAACAAATTTATGGCGATACCGACCTTTTATTGGAGGCTACATGTTCGCCATCCAATGTAAATGAGTTAAAAAGTCCTCTAGTGGTGGCCAGCACTATTATTAAATAAATAAATACATTAAAAAATTTGCCAGGACAAATTCACATATAACATATAAACTTTATTTTGTATTAGTACATGACAGATCAGACATAGATTAAGTCAAATTTCACAACTGTCTCATATTTACCCAAATCGACCCTATTCCATGCTTGGAAGTGTAACATTGCATCTACCGTTACTGGCCAATGTGTTGGTGTTTCCAATTGGTTTGTTTTGCATAGCTACCAACAATACCACTTTTGATGAAATAATGTATTCCATCTATGCTCCAAATATTTGCTGCTATCACTCATCACTGCCACTGGAACAGGAAAGTGAATCAAGGCTTAAAAGTTATCAGTGGTGGTAGAAATTTTATCAGCAGCACACACCAGCTTGACAGGCTATGAGCATCAACATTTCCAAGTTTAAAAATACTAAATTTTTAAAAAGTAATAAACTCTAAAATAATAATAATGCATAATCAAACAACTGCTTTTCCCATATAACAATCTTAGATAATATTTATATTTTTAAAATTACCAGAAAAGTTTAAAATCAAACTTAAGTTTATGACTTTATTTTAGACTTTCTTTCAAAATGTATATACTGTTGTAAAATTTAAAACAAAAACAGTGTTTAACTCTAATGACAGCTTTTCTAGAAGTGGAAAGATTTGGACTCTATTGTAGATAATGATAAACAAGTGCTAGTGTCAGAAAGAAAGATGAAGGATGAAAATAATAGTAAATGCAAAGGCTGCATAAGTCAGATATACCTCCTAATCCTCAGAGGCTCATTGAGCATAAAGATAACCAAATATCAATCCCAGCTTTTTAAAGGTAAAGATAACATTAAAAAAAAAAAAATGCTACAATTTTGTTTTCCTACACACAACTTTTCAGCATAGAAGTAGATTGGCAGGTAGCCAAACTCATCCAAACTGTTTCTCACAACTTCTACCTAGAGAGGTGCAAAATTCATAACTACTCTGTTATCAACACATGCATAAATAGCAAGGACAAGGATTCCCTGCTCCCACCTGGTAATATCTCCTCACTCTTTCACATTAACTGGCACTATCATAGCCTGTTTACTTTATTGGAGATAATGATAAGATATATTGAATTGGTTTCCTAAATATATTTTATATTTAGGAGACCAATTCTATTATTGGCAATATATATTGTTGATGTAATCAGCATGGTTTTTTGGAAACAACAGATATGCCTGGTTAATGTCATTTGTTGCTCAACAGAGTTACCAGTTACACTATTATTATTAGGTTCTAATGTAATTTTAAATGACACCTAATAGAATAAATTTATTTTTTATCAGCAATTATTTATTGTGACATTGTCACAATGCCGGGGTGCAATGTTTAATCATATTTTTAATTTATTTAATTTAAAATATATGCTCTCCACCTCAGATTAGTAGTGGCTTGCTCTTGTATATCATACTTTTCCTTTAACAATAGAGTCAAGCTGGTGATCTATTAATTAACTGCTTTCAGAGAAAAAGTTTTGAATTGAAATAACATGATTTCCAGTTTGCATTGGAAGTTCAAATATAGTTAATCAGGGCTTCCTGCAACTAAGGTTTCCATATCTGCTATAGAATTTTATCTATCTAACACCATTCTCAAAATTAAGGAAAGACAGATGAATGGATGACAGTGGAAATTTATAGGTCAACAATTTTTTCAAATTGCACCCCAATAATCCATAATTTTAACAAAAGATTGGTCCTCCTCAAAAAAAAAAATTTGACTTTAGTTGGAATTCTGTTGTTGGCATCAGAAGAAAAAGTACAGAGAACTACAGTGAAATACAATGGAACCTCGCTTAATGAGCACCTCACACAACAAGTAATTCGTAAAACAAATTGTAAAAAAATGACTTGCTTAATGAGTGACATTCACATAACAAGTGATGAGGAGAGGGGAAGTCCTGGCTTTTGCACATGCTCCATCAGTTTGTACTTAGCACTTGTTCCACTAGCATCTTAGTGTCATTTGTGATCACACATTTTTCCAAATTTGTGTTCAGACATATTACATATAAACATCAACAACCATAGCCCGTTATATAATAAACACGCCAAACGATATACCAAATTAAAATATAAATTTTCGTCTACAAGTACGTATCTTCTAATATCAGGACTTATTATACTGGGCTTTACAGATAATGCTACAGAGTTTCATAGAAAACAATTTTTTATTTCATTTAATATACATTTTATTTTAGATATACCAAATTCTTGGGCTATGTAAAGGCTATAATTGAATATTAGAAATTAATTAATTTGACTAGAGGTGGGCAGTTATGCTGCCATCTTGTATTAAATTTAATGACCAATTCCAAATTAAATTTTAGAAATGTCTATACTAAANAATATTTCATATTCATTAAAGAGTCTACTAGTTATCTATTCAAACAACTAAATGCAATTCTAAAATGAATTAGAAAAAATTGGAGAAAAGGTACAAAAAAAGGAAAACAGGAACATTTTAAAGCTATACAATCAACTATTTTAAAAGACAAATGTCATCTCTATAGCAATGTAACACAAACAATAGGTTGTCAGGGAGTCACTCATTTTGAATTATTAATGTTCCACACATATTTGAAATAACAATGATTATTTCCTATTTTTTCCTCTTTCTTACAGAATCAATTATTTGAGATTAGGTTTACTATACTTTAGATTTGAAATAAGAAATGAAAAAGATTAAATGAAAATTGCTTGTTTTCTTGGAAAATTCTTGTGTTTTATAATCAAAAGAAAATTTAATTATTGATTCAAAAATAAATAAACATCTTAAAATCTTTTTATTACTTAAAAGAATATTTTTTTGTCATATTATTTTATTGTGAAAAGCAACATAAGTAAACTACTGTAAGACTAAATTTTGGATATTTTTTAAAATAATTGCAGTTCAAAGTTAATAAAAAAAATTGGAGAGAAAAATTATTATGTTAAAAATTTAAATTATTAATATGGATTAGTTATATTTCATAATATTAATATTCATTTAAAAACTTTATGGCTAAAAATAAAAATTTTTTCAAGGAACACATTTGTTACAAATAAAATACAAAAGACAAGATTAATTTGAATACTATAATTTAGCAAAAAATACATCTTAAAGAAGAAAACTGAGAATAATTTAATACTTTCATTACAATACTTGACCTCAAAAGTTTTTGAAATTTTTCAGTTTGTAAAATTCTTCTGAATAATTTCATTTACAATGCTTAATTAAAACTTACTCTTTGTAAACTAGACAAACGAGGTGGTGGTGCTGTTGGTTTCTCAAATTCAAAAACAATGACAGCAGCTGAAACAAAGATGAAAAACTAATTACACCTATATGATAATTTTTAAGAAAACAAATACATGCAAGTTTATATACGTAATTTTAAAATATTATTTAGGATTTTTTTTATATTTATTGATATTTGCAATTTTATCTAAATAAAATTATTCATAGCAACTGCAAATAAAATATTTAATCTGAAATATTAAATATTTAACTATATAATAAAATATATAGTAATCACTTAGTACACTAATTTTTATATTTTGAAATACAAGAATATTTTATAAATTTTCATAAAATTGTTACATTTAATAAGAGTTACAAATAGATTTATTTAAATTCACAGATGGAATATTCTAAATTTTTACACTAATAATTAAAGCCCTCAAGGATGTGTAGCATTAACCCTCAGAATCACATTTCTGAGGTAATTGAGTTTAGATGTTTGAAAAAATCCTAAAACGAAAAATTCCAAAATGATGAGGTGACAGCCACATCTACAGGTAATGTTCAAAGAGCAAAAATATTAACACACTCTTATTCATATGATTTTAGGATTTCTTCAAACATTCTTACTCAATTACCTCATTAACACAATTCTGACAGTTAGCACTATACTTCCTGAGGGCTTCAATTATTAACTGGTCAAGTAATAATTTGGTTACTAATTGTGAAGATGGTTATTAATGGGCTAGCAAATGCAACAAGTGATTCAGGAATTATCTATTTATTTCAAAATAAAAATTAATAAAAGCTATACACAGCTTTAGGGGTTGCTCTGAAAAATTTTAAAATATTGCCAACCATTTTGCCAGTTTAAAATTTTTTTTGCCATTTCAAATTTTTTATCGCTACCAGTTTTACTAATTAATGAAGGTGCTGGTAAACTTATCAGTTTGGTATGTGGAAAATTAAAATAACATGTTAAGCTGTAACTTAAAATGTGAGGGCCAGGCGTTCAAGTCACTGATTTGAATGAAACTTGAACATGAACATGTAGCCTTAAACACAAACATCTCTTTGTCCAAATAATAGATATTTGAACTGGTGACCCAAATGCCTGGTCCTCTACTTGTTAGCAATAGGAATCATTTTTGAATAATTTTTTAATGAATAATTCCAAATGATACATTTGATCACAATGTTTAAATATGTTCTGTCATATCAAAATTTTTGTTTTAGTCTATTGAAAAAGATCAAAGTGAAAAAAAGTCATCCCAAAAAACATCCCCAAATTTTCTGTCAGTCAATAAAAAACATCCCCAATTTGGAAAATGCTGGGTAACATTGCATGAAAACTGTCTTTAGTTTTCAATATCACTTCCTACTCTTCTGCTTGAACTTGCCACATGACATCATGAAATTGCATGGCACATTATCACATGGGATATGAAATTGCATGGCATCTTATCACATGGGAGCTAGACATTCTGCTGTTTTTCCTGAAGTGTGCTTTGTGATTCAATTTCATGCTGAATGTCAAAATAAGCAGACTTAGAATTTTTATCGCCACTTACTATTTCCAGTATTATATTTTTATTGCCACTTTATTTAATAAAAATATCACCAAGTGGTGACTTTGGCACTATGCAGTGCGCAACTCCTGTAGCTTATTTCAACTATTTCTGTTAATCAAAATTTAATAATTTGATATTTATTTTTTAAATAATTATTATTATGCATAAAGATAATTTATAATTATCTTTATATAAATCATAATGATAATTTTAAATTAAAAGATTAAATTATCATATTAATCATAAAGATAATTTATAATTATCTTTATAAACTTAAAACTAATATTTAAAAAAAATTAATTGTTGAATTTTTTTAAAAAATGAATATATAATTTTCTTTAAATACTGATAAATTAAACTGCTTAAATTTTTTGTAGTAATAATAATTGAACTGATATATTTATTGAATGAACTCACCATCTTTTATTCGTTTTTGTACTTCTGGAGTTAATAAGGCCCAACTTTTACAATGTACCACATGATTAGCATTATGTATTAAAAATCTTTCACACTGCCTTTGAATCCTATGTAATAAGTCTATAAAATTCTGTTGGAAATTTAATGAATCAAACAGATGATTGTACTTTAGAAGATATACAAGAATTTTTATAAATAAATAATTCAATCTAAATCTTACTTGTGTCCACCTTCCTGATTCTTGACTGTTTTCAGATTCAGCAGCAGGAAGTATTTCACTTATCTTCACATAAGATTTGCAAGCAATATCAGGACTTAAAATTTCTACTGCAGATAAAATACTATCTTCAAGTGAGGTTACATTCCAGCTTTGACCCTTTTATAATTTAAAATCGTATTTAAAAATTTCTTGCCATAATAAAAGTGATATTTATATTTTTATAAAAGTTTATTAAATTCAATATCAATAGATGTAATGTCAATAATATATCAAATGACAAAATAACAATGTTATTTTCCATAAATTTTTAGTTATTCTAAATTACAGTGAAAATATTTTACTGGTAAATCATTTATTTTACATTGTTTATAAATGATTTTTCTTTGTAAAAAACTTTGATACATTAATCTTCCAATAATTCTGGCTTCTGATTATTTCATTATTTATCAAAACTTTTGTAAGCATTCTCTGTATATAAAAAGAATTTGTATATATTAATTTACTGTGTGTGTGTGTGTATAATATTGTTATTGATGGATAATTTAACTAGGTATTTTTCTCACATTACTTTGGGCTTGATTGATATTCTAAAAATTATAATAAAAAAAAACAGAATAAACAATAAATTTACTATTTAGATTAGATACTGAAATATTTAACCTGCTGCTAGTCAAATTGCCAAAAGTTTATAATTTAAATTTGGCAAAAAATTTTTCATATTGTTTTGCTAAAAGATGATAATCTATTTCTCAAGAACTATGCATTTCAGTATGTAACTTTCCAGCACTCTTATTTTGCCATAAACCCAATTTGGTGACAAAATAATATACCATGCTTAATTAATACTCAACATTCAAAGCAGAGATGTGTACCAATTAAAGCCTTGATTCTACTTGCACATTTCCAATAGTAGCAGCAAGCAGTCGCAATGGTTACTATGGAAACAATCCAACAAGGCAGCTCTCTAACTGTTCACTGTGTCTCTAAGGAAAATTCCAATGTGCTGAATATTGCCACTGCCACTAAGACTCACCACTTTTGATAGCCAATAAAATGATAGCATATATCTGACATCAGAACAATAGATCTAGGGTCAATGTGGGTAAATATGAGACACTTTTCAAAACTTTTGTAACAGCATTTGTTAGGATCAATATTTTCCAAAGAGAAATGCACAACAAGGTCTACAGATGGTGTTAAAATCTAATGGAGTATCTAATGGAGTTTTTTTCTGTAGGTAGAGAAATGTTGAGCAAAAGATTTTTTTCGCTGTCTCATATTTTACCTTTTGAAGGTAAAATATTATATACACCCAGACACCGAGACACCCATTATATCACCATAAGGACTTGCCTATACCAACAGGGAGGTTAATAATGAGGTACTACAGGTTAAATGTAAGGCATTTTTGTATAAAACATTGCTCCATGATATTTAGAAGTAAGTAGATAAGATTAAATATTTATCCGTTTTGAAAAGTGTCTCATATTTACCCACATTGACCCTACTTTTTAGTTTTTCTCTGATAATTGTTTGGTATCTTTATTATTCCATTCAAAGCTCACACCTATAAGAACAAAGAAATATTTTTACTATGGTAAAGCACAACTAAAGTAAAGTTTCATGGAAAGTAATGACTAGTGAATAAAATTTGGTGTGTCTCATTTTTTATCTCATTTTGAAATGCACAAAACTCAGACAAATGATGATATATGCAATAAAAACAACTAGTAGCTGAAAGCTGTGTTTATATACTACATACAAATTTCTAATTAAATATTCATGTCTTTTGCAGACTATACAGAGCAAAAGTTAGTTGAACTGACAGAAAGTTTTTGCACCTATTTTTGTAGTGTTTCTTAAAAATTAAAAAGACTCAATGAAACCATAGTCATTTTCATTCAGAAAAGTTATATGTTAAAAAGCACTAAATAAACTTTATTTTGAAATTAGAATATAGAAAAAATATATTTCGGACTATACATATAATTGAGTCCATCTTCATTTGTCCCTTCACACGTTTTGCAGAGGCAATAACAAATTTATGGCGATACCGACCTTTTATTGGAGGCTACATGTTCGCCATCCAATGTAAATGAGTTAAAAAGTCCTCTAGTGGTGGCCAGCACTATTATTAAATAAATAAATACATTAAAAAATTTGCCAGGACAAATTCACATATAACATATAAACTTTATTTTGTATTAGTACATGACAGATCAGACATAGATTAAGTCAAATTTCACAACTGTCTCATATTTACCCAAATCGACCCTATTCCATGCTTGGAAGTGTAACATTGCATCTACCGTTACTGGCCAATGTGTTGGTGTTTCCAATTGGTTTGTTTTGCATAGCTACCAACAATACCACTTTTGATGAAATAATGTATTCCATCTATGCTCCAAATATTTGCTGCTATCACTCATCACTGCCACTGGAACAGGAAAGTGAATCAAGGCTTAAAAGTTATCAGTGGTGGTAGAAATTTTATCAGCAGCACACACCAGCTTGACAGGCTATGAGCATCAACATTTCCAAGTTTAAAAATACTAAATTTTTAAAAAGTAATAAACTCTAAAATAATAATAATGCATAATCAAACAACTGCTTTTCCCATATAACAATCTTAGATAATATTTATATTTTTAAAATTACCAGAAAAGTTTAAAATCAAACTTAAGTTTATGACTTTATTTTAGACTTTCTTTCAAAATGTATATACTGTTGTAAAATTTAAAACAAAAACAGTGTTTAACTCTAATGACAGCTTTTCTAGAAGTGGAAAGATTTGGACTCTATTGTAGATAATGATAAACAAGTGCTAGTGTCAGAAAGAAAGATGAAGGATGAAAATAATAGTAAATGCAAAGGCTGCATAAGTCAGATATACCTCCTAATCCTCAGAGGCTCATTGAGCATAAAGATAACCAAATATCAATCCCAGCTTTTTAAAGGTAAAGATAACATTAAAAAAAAAAAAATGCTACAATTTTGTTTTCCTACACACAACTTTTCAGCATAGAAGTAGATTGGCAGGTAGCCAAACTCATCCAAACTGTTTCTCACAACTTCTACCTAGAGAGGTGCAAAATTCATAACTACTCTGTTATCAACACATGCATAAATAGCAAGGACAAGGATTCCCTGCTCCCACCTGGTAATATCTCCTCACTCTTTCACATTAACTGGCACTATCATAGCCTGTTTACTTTATTGGAGATAATGATAAGATATATTGAATTGGTTTCCTAAATATATTTTATATTTAGGAGACCAATTCTATTATTGGCAATATATATTGTTGATGTAATCAGCATGGTTTTTTGGAAACAACAGATATGCCTGGTTAATGTCATTTGTTGCTCAACAGAGTTACCAGTTACACTATTATTATTAGGTTCTAATGTAATTTTAAATGACACCTAATAGAATAAATTTATTTTTTATCAGCAATTATTTATTGTGACATTGTCACAATGCCGGGGTGCAATGTTTAATCATATTTTTAATTTATTTAATTTAAAATATATGCTCTCCACCTCAGATTAGTAGTGGCTTGCTCTTGTATATCATACTTTTCCTTTAACAATAGAGTCAAGCTGGTGATCTATTAATTAACTGCTTTCAGAGAAAAAGTTTTGAATTGAAATAACATGATTTCCAGTTTGCATTGGAAGTTCAAATATAGTTAATCAGGGCTTCCTGCAACTAAGGTTTCCATATCTGCTATAGAATTTTATCTATCTAACACCATTCTCAAAATTAAGGAAAGACAGATGAATGGATGACAGTGGAAATTTATAGGTCAACAATTTTTTCAAATTGCACCCCAATAATCCATAATTTTAACAAAAGATTGGTCCTCCTCAAAAAAAAAAATTTGACTTTAGTTGGAATTCTGTTGTTGGCATCAGAAGAAAAAGTACAGAGAACTACAGTGAAATACAATGGAACCTCGCTTAATGAGCACCTCACACAACAAGTAATTCGTAAAACAAATTGTAAAAAAATGACTTGCTTAATGAGTGACATTCACATAACAAGTGATGAGGAGAGGGGAAGTCCTGGCTTTTGCACATGCTCCATCAGTTTGTACTTAGCACTTGTTCCACTAGCATCTTAGTGTCATTTGTGATCACACATTTTTCCAAATTTGTGTTCAGACATATTACATATAAACATCAACAACCATAGCCCGTTATATAATAAACACGCCAAACGATATACCAAATTAAAATATAAATTTTCGTCTACAAGTACGTATCTTCTAATATCAGGACTTATTATACTGGGCTTTACAGATAATGCTACAGAGTTTCATAGAAAACAATTTTTTATTTCATTTAATATACATTTTATTTTAGATATACCAAATTCTTGGGCTATGTAAAGGCTATAATTGAATATTAGAAATTAATTAATTTGACTAGAGGTGGGCAGTTATGCTGCCATCTTGTATTAAATTTAATGACCAATTCCAAATTAAATTTTAGAAATGTCTAAATTAAAAATTAATTATTTATAATTATTAGATTTAATACAAGCAAAACGGTAAAAACCATAGCAGTAGGCAGTCAAATTAATTAATTTCTAATATTTAATTATAGCCTTTACATAGCCCAAGAATTTGGCATATTGTTTGGCATGTTTATCATATCCAACATATTAGCTGTGATTTCTTTTTGTTTTCTGCAAATCAAATTTGCATTACAGGTTGGTTCATTCCATGCGAAAAGAAAAGACGATGATGATTCATGGTCCTTAACAATACATATTGTATAATTTTCTTTGAATAAACGTTATACATAAAATATTTGAGTATTTTTTTGGCATGGAACGCATTATCGTATTTTACATAAATTTATATGGGAAAAACTGTTTCACTTAACAAGTGTTTCACATTACGAATAAGATTCTGGAATGAATTATACTTGTTAAGTGAGGTTCCACTGTAATTATAGAATTCATTATTACATTGAAATAAACAAATGCTTTCAGCTTGTAAGCATTAGAATACATATAGTCATTATTAGGTACTGTACGGTACAAGAGAAAAATACTATTATACAGATCATCAAAAAATGGAGTATCCAGCATTAATAGATGAATATTCCAATTTTTCAATTTCTGTATAATAGTATGCTTCTTCCTATACATAATAAATAATGACCAGATGAATTTATGATTTAAGAAAATATAGTTAGAATTTTTTTACTTGAATTAGTCACTTTTTGTACCACTATTAACTTTTATATATACTGCTACTTTTAATTCCATTTTATATATTTCAAGACTTTCTTTCATTTAATTTTTCAGAAAAGATCATTATTCGATTTAATCATTCCGTCATCGAATATACAGACCTGAAGATGATCTCCAATTGCAGATAAAAAACATTAGTCAAAAAAAACTTTTTTGAATTAAACATTACTGGAATATAATTTAATGCTTTTGAGTGAAGTGTTTATTAAATTGCTCCAGCCCACTGCAGTTGTCAGAATTAGTAATGTGGCCCTCCTCTTGAAAAGTTCAGGGACCCTGATCTAAACTATTTCTTAGGAATGATGAAAATTTTTCTAAGCATTTCCATGTAATAATTAAAGTTACTCACAACTACTGTTCTCATGTTATATAAAAAAATTTAAAATTCTGCCTGAGTAATGAAAACATCCTTATTTTAAAAAACTAATTATAAAAATTAAAATTATTTTTTTCCATCTATGTATGTATTTTAATATGAAAGATATAAATTCCAAAAAGTAACTTGATTAAGTAAAATAGAATATATACAGTAATTTAATTTTTTATTAACTTCTAAATTAAAGCATTAGAATAATCTAGATAACATCTGTGGTAAATAAAAATTATGTCCTATTCCAGGATTTCAAATGTATAAATTTTTGAATAAAAAATTATTTTTTCAGATTTATACTAACAAGAACTATACAATAATAGAAAGTAATCATGTATAAATGATGAGAAACCACTGATGGTGTGATTCAGAAAAAAATCACACCAGTCAACAATTTGTATCAAAGTATTTATATAAATTTTACATATTTGTAAAATTTATATAAATATATTTATATATT